GGGGGGGGTGTGGTATCTTATGAGGGTGTGGTATCTTGTGTAGAATACGGTACCCTGCTGCCGCATGTTGGACGAGCGAGTTGCTTTTTTAAAAGAGGTAGCAGGAACATACAGCAGTGTAGTCTATGTACAGCACATGTTTTAGACTTGTGCTCTTCCCCGTTGCTTTCTACATATACACCAGAAGAACCCTCATCACGCATACCTGCCGTGGGCGGCTGCATCTACACATCAACACTCACCGCCGAAGAAAGCGTTGACTTCCAGCGAAGGGCGGAGTAGCTCGACAAGCTTGTGGAAACTGCCTTTCTCCATGCGGTACGACCGCCGCCACCCGTGCCGTTTATCGAGGTCCGCCTCGTGTTGAGCCCACGGAAGACGCTTGGGCTCGTAGATGGGCTCCCGTTCCTGAGGGCAGTGGGCACGATGAGCCTCTCCTGCTGCCACGACGCCCGCCGCCACTACTAAGGCCCTCACAAGACCCAAGACTGTGAATCTCTTGTCATGGGCTACATCCTCCTCGTCGATAGCTCGCCGACCGCGCTTACCCGGCGTTGCGCTGCGATCCCCCTGGGATCTTGACGCTTCCCACCCTCAGGCATGGTAGTGGAGTTGCCTTGGGAAGCACTTTGGGGTGTTGTTGGTGCTGTTTAGGTGTGGTCTGANAGTTGCCTTGGGAAGCACTTTGGGGTGTTGTTGGTGCTGTCTAGGTGTGGTGTGATGAAGACAGCACGCGTGACCGGTGTCTGCTCCGGTAGTCGCAAAAAAGCGGGAAATTTTTCACCGAACAGTAAAAGGAGCAAGCCCCCCAAAAATACGCCTTGCTCTTTTTACGGAAACGTAGAGGAACGCCTCCATATATTTAAAGACAATACGGTTTCGTAACCAAAAACGTATTTTTTTGGCCTGATAAGACACACCCTTACTCACCAACGCTCCTGTTTTGCATTTTCCGGACTTACTTTTCTAAAGAATGCTATGCTGTTGTTCTAGCAATTCAACACTGGCGTCCTTATTTATGGGGTAGACATTTTACGTGCGTAACTGATCATGCGGCATTGCGATATCTTTATTCGATGCAAGACACGTCAAATATGCTCACTAGATGGGCAATAATAGCACTGCAATCCTTCGATTTCACGGTAAAACACAAACAAACCGGGAAAGTTGCATGTAGTGCCGGATATGTTATCGCGACTTTTCGTGTTCGATAATGAACAAGAACGAACTGCGCCGAACCTTGCACCGATTTGCCGAAATGTACCGGACGATCCAAAGCTGCAACAACACATCTAACCCATGCCAAACAGACCATACCAAGTCTCGACTGACAAATTGGATGATGTGCAACCAGTCCTTAGTGATAGGGAATTATTCACAGTCAATTCAAATTTCGTCAGCGCCACGGAAGTATTTGAAGAAATTGCGCGAGAAACAAGCCGAAGAATACGGCGAATATGTCCAATACATTTTAGACGCCAAAGCACCGCTACCAGACAACGAAACGGCAACATCAATGTCGTACTATTCCATACATGACGGATTACTGTTTAAGTTGTATCTGCCAGGACACCTACTACGAAAACGAAGCAATTTTAGTGATCAACTTGTAGTCCCACATGACCTCACCGGTTTAGTGATGCACGCATACCATGATCACGCTCTTTCAGGTGGACACCTCGCATTTCGTCCAACGTACGAAAAAATACGTCAAAAATATTGGTGGCAGTCAATGAACCGTGACATCCGGACTTGGTGCCTAGAATGCCAGGCCTGTCAACGGAGAAAGACACCTCACCGCCGTCCGAAACTGCCGACGGGTTACGTACCTGTACAGCGGCCGTTTGAAAGAGTATCAGTCGACCTAGTCGAGTACAAATCACTCTCAATGTCAGCAGTCGGAGTGAGATGCAAATACGTGCTTTCCATGATGGACCACCTGACGCGTTATGCAATTCTCACACCAGTTCCAAACAAAACTGCTGAAACGGTAGCACGTGTAATCATTGATCGGATTATCAGTATCGTTGGCCCGCCAGAAATGCTGCACTCTGATCAAGGCACTGAATTCGAAAACAAGATGATCTATCAGTTGCAAACAATCTTGGGCTATAAGAAAACACGCACGACGCCGTATCGTCCGCAAGGTAATTCGGTCTCTGAGCGTGTGCATTCAACGATGCATTCCATGCTCGCAATGCATAGCTCCATGAATCGTGACAACTGGCTGGGCGGATCTCCTGCCAATGTGGTTCAACTAGCGTATAATACGTCGTTTAATAAAACCATGCACGAGACACCGTACTTCTTGATGTTTGGTCGCCAAGCACGGTTACCGGTAGATGTAATTCTCGGAATCCCACTCGTAGGATCAACTGCAGATACCGAGAGTTTTGCTAAAAAAACACGAGAAAATCTACAAATTGCTTTCGAACTAGCGCGAAGAAACCTCACGGAACGTGCAGAGAAGCGAGCTGCGAAAAACGAAAAGTTACCACAGTACCCCGTCTATAAACCTGGTCAACAGGTACTCGTATACCGACCACATCAGGATATAGATGGACCAAATCCGAAGCTGTTCTTACCGTGGCGAGGACCATATACCATCTGCTCACAACTGTCGCCAGTTGTGTATAGGGTGAAGCGAGTTGATGAAACACGAGAAATACCCGTGCATCTTGCCCATCGAAAACAGTACCACAGTTTGGAAAACTGGCGGAATATTTCCTTGGGAAACAAGTTCCCTTACCTGCCCTGACAGCAAACGACGAAAATCAACCGAAAATTGAAAGATACGTCGTATTGAAAGTGGTAGNCTATGAAAGGAAAAAAACACCAGCACCACAGTTTGGAAAACTGGCGGAATATTTCCTTGGGAAACAAATTCCCTTGCCTGCCCTGACAGCAAACGACGAAAATCAACCGAAAATTGAAAGATATACATCGTATTGAAAGTGGTAGGGCATCGAAGCGGTCAAGGCCGAAAAGGTCCGCACAACTATCGATATCGTCTAAGACTGAAAGGATACGG